GTTCGGTTTAGTAATGCTCTACTGACGGTTGAAGGGCTTGTCCGTTTCTACCGACCTGAGGGTACCGTCTGGAGTGGGACGGCATTTAGTGTCCTGTTGTGGTTGGCTACTAAACCTCATCTGTTGTTGACGTAGGGGTAAGGGATCTGTTATGTGTTGAAGGGTCACAGTCAATGGCTCCTTTTACCTTCTTGTGTGGGAGTCAATACATGCTTAGCTATCGTTGGACACAGAGAGTCATTGAACATTGTTCCAAAAAACAAAAATTAAACTGACAAAAACGTTCCTGTATGTAAAGGAAAGGTTACTGGAATATTTTCCCGCAATTGTTCAGGAATCTAGATGAAATAGTAGACGCGGTAGATGCCTCAAACGACGCGATTGTGAAGAGGAGACACGTCCCCGACAGGCTTCAATCTTTTTGTGTCCGTCGTTGACCAACGCCCCATCATACCTCAAATTCGGCGTCGATATCGGAGTAGCGGATCCGGTTGGAACAAACCCCCGTCCCTTCCGACGGTCGTTGTCCGGGACCCTTTTGACCTTGTAGAACCTCAGGGAACCCAAGAAGACGTTCAAATTGACCGCGTTAAAGAAAAAGGTCACTCGGTTAGATGGGTTTGTTTTCACCGTTCATGAATCTAAATGAACAAAGGGGAGGCGGTACGTAGGCCTGGAAAAACGAAGGCTGGTTATGGCTGTGAAGGGTGTAGAATGAAGACCCAGGTCTGGTCAATAAGACGGAGTGTGGCCTGATGTGCCTCTTTCACCAGTAGTTTCCTCTAAGCCAGTGATGGGCGAGCTTGCTGACCCTGATAAAAAGCGGGCAAAGGTTTGCCCCCGCCGAGGAAATCACCGAACCCAAACCAGCGGTTGATGGGATGGTCCCTGTTTGTGTGGTAAAATAATGTAACATTTACACCCGGGTAAGCTATGTTTAATTTAGTCTATGTAAGTATAAGCCCTATTAATAATTTGATGTTTCAGTGTCTTGGGGAAACTTTTTTTATGGGGGGGGGGTGGTGTATGACAAGCCTGTGGTTGTCCACCATGTGGTGCTGTGGTAACCTGGGTTTTCCTTGTTATCAGCAGTGATGAGACCCACCTGTGGCACCTGGTTCCACTATTTAAGAGGGCTGCAGAACAGGCTCTCGCTTTCTCTCAGCTGCCCTGCTCGGTGCACCAGGACACCGCTCCTGTGTTTGTTTTATTGTTGGTTGTAACCACTGTGTTGGTAAATAAATGCTTGTTTTGGGCAACTCCTGTGTGGAACTGTTGTCCTTATGTTGCAAGAAGAGCCAGCTTGTAACAGTACTGACATCCTGGTTGTACGGTATACAGAGCTTAAAGAGTGACTTACCTGTTGAACCTCCGCAGCCAACAGGCAAACCTTCGACAGAGCAGAGGCAGAGTGTTACGCGCGGCACCCGGACTCGGCTCTTCTGACTTCAGTTTCATATTGTCCAAGAACTGGGTGGCGATGACGACTGCGCAGACGTTGACTATGATGAAGGAGCCCATCTGGTTGGGGAAGTAAAGAAAGGGTATTTAGTCCAACTGCTCAAAAACTGGGAAAAATCTAAAGCAAGCCTTGTTTGTCTTTCCTCTTCATTCTCATTTTCTTTCAGTTTCTTTCTGGTTATTCTTTTCTTTTGTATGCTCTTACACATTTTCTATAACTAGTGTTTAATTTGAAAATAAAATATCAAGTTTTGCAAAAGTGCAATTCAAGTTTCCAACTCATTTGTTCTCAGTCTGAAATTAAATAACAAAACCAAAATAAATAAGTTGTAGCTTATATGTCTTTTAATATTTCTTCAACATGATCACATGTAAAACAAATTGTGAGCACATAGCTCCCATTTGCTGTTAACCCAAGCGAAAAACACAAATCTACAGTTATCAGATGGCTCTCGGTCTCCAGGTCATTTGAAAAAGAACTGCAGCAAGCCAGGAGTAAAGTGAAATGTAAGTATTCATTGAGTTTCATTATGCAACAGGGTTTCAGCATTGGGCCAACTATTTTGGATTCAATAAAGACTCACTTTCAATGTATTTGACTGCTGCTGTTGGATTTTCATGATTGTTACTGAAGTTATTTAACCAACTTTACAGACCCTTTTGTCTACCAGATCTCAAATAAACCACATGGAATAATACCAAACCATCATTCAGAGGTTGTTGGAGACCTAGAAACACAGTCAAATACTAAAGTTGTTAACTGCAAAAAGACAAAAAGCTACTCACAACGGTGACCAGCATGAAGAATAAAAAACTCAAGAAGGAATGAGCATCCATTATGAAAAACATGATCTCAGCCCATCCTTCTAGTGTGACAACCTTTGGGGAACAGAGAGAGTGATATAAATAACATTTATAGAGTGAATTAGATAACTTTACGCTCACCATGTTTCATGCTACCACATGTTCACATGCAAATGTATCCCTTCATCAGAATCAGAAACAGGTTTATTAGCAGGTAGGTTAACACACACAGGGAATTTGACTTGGTGTTGAGGTGCATACACAGATAGAAAACTTTATAAAGAAAGACCTTATTACCTGGAATATGGTTATCCAGGCGTAGAAGATGTTGTCGAAGTTGATCACTCCCCGGTGGGGGTTTTTCTCACTAGCACGACAGACATTGTAGAAAGAGTGCCAGTTTACACAGGTGTGTGAAGCCACTGTAGGGATTCCCCAATTCGCAGCTGAGGCTTTGTGGGGGGCAGCCAATGAGCAGGTTCCCCCATTCTCTTGGTAAGGGGGTATATCTCGGCAGTGTTGCGTCCCGCTCTTGCCTTCCCGCGTACAGACAAACGGAACTTTTTCATCAAACTGGGTCTCGAAGTATGGGCTAAGGGACATGCTGTTATTTCTGTACAGAAAAAGAAAGACAAATGAAATGAACTAGAAATAATGAACCATTACAAATGTTTAAGAATTCACATGATGCGTTTTTTGTGATTGGGAGATAGAGAATTGACATGCAGTGTATCATGTTAATGATACATAGTTATACAACTCAGTTCAGTTAAATAATGGATAAATGTGAATATAAACCAAGTCATACCACAGGATGTAATGTGTGCCGTGACATGTGTCATCAAGGTAAATAACAATTATTATTTTATGTTCTTATATACAAAAAATGTGAGTTTGTGTTTTTCTTAGCATTTTCACACATCAAAGGAGGAAATGCATTTAATTTAATACCATTATATTGTTTTCACTATATTTCTCGTTAGTATTATACATACCTATTGAATGCAAGTCAGTTAAATAAAACGAATCTGAATAAATCTCCTTGGGTCCTGGAAAATTGGGATGTGCCATTTTATTTTACTATACAATTATTTCACATTTTATAGACCAATTATAATTTAAAAAATCAAGAAATACTTTGGCCAGGGAAAAACATGCAAATAATGGAAAAACAGACAAAAACCTTACGTGGGAATGTCGTCTCCCAGGAAGCAGCGGTTGCGCAGCTGGCCCGCCCACAGCTGGACTCCGGCCACGGCAAAGATGTGGATGACAAACAAGAAGATGACGAGAACAATTGCAAGCATGGGCACGACGTCTATGAGAACTGTAACTACGTCCCGCATACCTACAGGAATAAAGACAAAAAGATGTCGTCAGCAGTTGTTATGGGATTACAGGAACAGTGTATGGAATTGCAATAGATTGCAGAGGTATTACTATCTTTCTTTATTTCTGTGTATGTATCATGATGTATAGATTCTTGATTTTCATCATAGCCAAACATATTGTGATACTAAAATACAAATGCAAGATGTTTACAATTGTTGTTAAATGTAGTTCTACATTTTCACATGGCTAATGACCTGTTATTTCTCAAATGTAAGAGACCATAAGTGGGAAAAAAAGAGGAAATATCACTCACAAATACATAGCAGTTATTGTAGGTATATTTGAAAGAGAAAACACTGCAAAACAAAATGTTTTAAGGAACACTGAAATGTGTTTGAATATCAACTTACTTGGTACTCTGCTGATCAGTCGCAACGGTCCAAAGACTTGAGAGAGTAGAAAGTCGATGCCAAGGATATTGAAAAAATATCCAAATGCCCTGAAGGGACAGTTAAAACAAAACAAGGAGAAGAGTTTGAATTTGCCTTCTTTCATGAACAAAACAAAAACCATCACAAAATGTAATACTAAATATTAAAGCACTCTGTTCATAAACAAGCCTATCAACAATAGATGTGATTGATAAGCATATGTACATTGTACAGTGTGTACACTATGGATCATATGTTGGCTGCTTTGCATTGTGAGTCACTTACTCTGCAATGTTGATAAAGAAGTCCAACTTGTTCCATTTGTTTTGAAGGTAGCTGTTTCTGTAGCCATAGACTCCAAAGGCCACCATCTTGACGGTCATTTCCACCAGAAAGAATGCAAAGACAAAGACATCGAACACCTGGCCAGAAACACAGAGGAACATTTTCAATTTATTGCATATATTTACAAAAAATAATATACAAGAAGTTATTATTAACCAGTTATGTCATAATTAAGCTACTCTCACAATTAGGCATTCATTATATTGGAAGTAGATGTTAATGACACAGTACATTTCCCTGCCCAGGCCTACTCAGAAGAATACAGCGGTTAAACGTACCTCTAGTTTGTAGCTCTTCCCTTCACCGGGCTTGTACATGCCCAAACTTACACAGTTGAGCAGGATCATCAGTATGGACATATACTCCATCCAAGTGGAGGAAAATATTAAGGTCAAAACACAAAGGATGAGATGAGAGGATTATGTAAAAGAGGCAATTCATGATAATAATAATAATAATAATAATAATGGCCAAATGTATAAAATGTTGTAATATGCGACAGTCAGACACAAATTATATGATATTTATTCTAATTTCACATAATTGGTTTCACCAGGTGTCAGAGGGTTAGGGTTAGGTTAGGTTAAACTTCCAGCAGTAAGAAAAGGATATGGGCCACAAGCGATTTGCAAACACCAGTTACGGGGTCTTGTGGTCTGTGTTAAGCTGCGGAAAACTACAGAGGCCAGGTTCGGGTAGGGCAGCTGCTCCTCCTCAGTGGAAACTCTGTTTTCTTGTATCGTGAGCGCCACCTCCCGCCTCTCCCTCATCTGTCCGTCAGTCATGCTCACTCTAGAGGGAGGTCAAAAGGTAAGAGGTGAACAGAGGAAGCGTTGTTATCAGAATGGATTGACACCAATGGGAAAATATATTGGTATATATATATTGACCTCTGGCGGCTGCTTTCAGAACCTTAACATGGGTACAAATAATTGTATTGTATTGCATTCATCATATCTTACAAGCCCATTAGGTGTTTTGAATCAGATCTCAATTTAAGGTATATATAATTTAAATTGTTATATAAATGTAGTCGAGTAAATATAACAGCATTGAGGAACATGCTTGAACTTGATGCAGAAGTAAAGGTTGACTTAACACTTAATGTCTTTAACAAGAAGACACTGTAATGCAAAACAAAGTTTGTTTGATAATGTAATCGTCCAAAAAAATCCTTAACATTATTTCTTAATATTATTTTTCACTTCCATTGAGTAAAATGTAATAAAACAGAAATCCTGATCACTAGCAAATATTCATTTTTTTCTGAATTCTAAAGCCAGTTTGTTTACACATTGTTACTTTTGTTTCCCCATAAACAAAATAGACAAATCAAAATAATTCTAGGGGGACTTGTTTCACATTCTTATATATGCTTAGCAACAACATTGATTTAAATGCATTTTTTAGTTTAGTCAGTTTAAAAAAAATATTGTCTACTTGTGTATACCTTACACAATGAACCACCCCACGCTACAAAAATACTACATATTCATATAATTTTACACTTTCACTTGGTGAATGTTTTTAAACTACATATCACCAGTCCCCCCAACACAAAAACCAAATTATTTTCTGAACGTTATACTAAATGCTAGGCACATTTTCCTAATCAGGGATGTGTCAATGATAGTATAGCTGAAGTTGAACATACAAATAAAAAAAGCCTTACAGGCATGGCAAAATGTATGCCCCATGCATATACACAGCCCAAATGATTGAACAGCTAAAATGTCAAAAAGCACAGAAAGGTCTCAAAAAGGTAACGAAGTTTAAGTTCAAATATTATGCATAGTCTACTTAACTTCGTACTATTCATCTGTGTGCATCTCACATATTTATTACAATAAGCAGTATTTTGTTTATTTATACAGCATTTAATTGGGCATACTAACCTTCTATTTTACTTGAATAAAGTGTACTTCTCCTGCATTACTTGCACATTAGTCTTGCAACATTCTCTTGCACTATTTTATTTTTACTAAGTTTCTTCTTGAATTATTGTGTAATAGTTTTTTTTACAATTAGTTCGATTGTTTTATGTCTTATAGTTATGTTGCATTGTATAACTACACTGTAAATGTGCATATTAAAATAAAACCTTTAACTTTGAAAGTAGCCTACTTAAACATACAAGGAAGGTGGTTATATGACAACAGTAAGCTATCTAAGATGCGCGTTTAATTTGTTGTATGTTGCCTACTACACAACATCTCTGACTTAAAAACCGAAGCTCGGCTCAAGTATTTGTCCTATTTTTGACATTTTATCCAGGTTACTTTCAGGTGAGTCTTCTAACTTTAACTGGTCATGTGAAACTTATATTAACGTAAGCTAACGCTAGCTCAGTGCTAGCACTGCGGTCACAACATGTTTGTAAACCGTTGCATTGGAGGGTGATGTTTTTATAATGGTAAAAAAAGTGGTTATTTATTCAAACAAGTTCATTATTTCCTGTTATTCATAGCCTGCTAAAGTTAGGTATTTATCAGTTCATGGTTCACTATAAGGACCTGCCAGAGGTTGGAAGTTAAACTTACACTGATAGACTATGCTAAATTCGTACACAACTATGCTATCAACATTACGTGCTAAGTGGTTAAGGGTACTTACCACAGAAAAAGGTCGTCTTCGCTGCGGTAACTCAGTAGTCCACTTGAAGATGTTTCGTGAAAGCCCGTTCAAGCCAACACAGTTTCTGGGTTAGTTCATCAAAACCACAAAAGGTTATGCCAGCAGACCAACTGTCTGTGTCCTTACAGGTTAATAACTATTTAAAAACAAACATCAGTTTCGTCAATTTCTGGAACGTGTGGGAAATCAAACAATAATACCACTGCTATGGTTACCGTAAGAAACGCACATTGTCACAGATGATTGCTGCTCCTGTCAGATGCAGGTCTATAACAGCTAGTGTGAGTACCTCTTGCATATAGCTGCATTGTTTAAACATGTTGTAGGTTAGTTCTTCCCAATGTAACACGAAATGGGGTTCCTTTGTAATACAAAAACAAATCATAGTTTTTTTATTCTATGTATTATATTATTTTGCAATTTCACCAGCTAGACCTTTACTTAAACAAACATCTGATTTGGACTATACATTTATTTTAAACCTGACGCTTATATTAATAACTGTTCATCAATATTGGTCCGGGTATACAACACTGTATTTATGCAGCAGCTAGCTATATATGTATAATTATCTGGTTTTGCTGTTATTTTGTACAAAGTTACTTAAGCACAGTGCATGATGACATAGATACTAAACAGACACATTTTGTACACTTGAAGCACATGTATAAAACAGTTAATGGCATGATGTGGTCTTGTGATTGCCTACCTTGTGAGTATAATGTACCACCTGTCAAGCAAGGTACATCTATAAAAAGTGACTACTGTGGGCTTATTTGTATCAATCAATGCAAACAAAATATCAATGTTAATTAAAGCTGATACAAAGTTTTACAAATGGACAGAGATTAAACAGTTTGAGCTGCACATGCTTTTGCCTCAGATAAATATGCTACCGGTATTTTTTTGAATAGTTTAATAAAAACATGAATATTGCTGACAAGGTGGACATGTGTCCTCCAGGCCTACATATTAATTGTGGCACTGCTACAAATCTGTAATGTAAGATATTCACCACTTTTTCTGGCATGCAGTACAGGCTACACAGAGACACTGTCCATATAAGCTCTATAGTTCTTTGGTCTTTAGATATGATTTGTACAATGATTCAGCCTTTTCATACTCTACTTCAATGGTAACACAACTGCACATTTCCCATGTGTTAATATCAAAGCTAATACAACGTTTTCATTTTTGCAGAGACCCTTATAATGTGCCTGATAACCCCCTTAGGACCTCAGAGAGAACATAGCAAACTTTTGGACAAGCATACTTCGCCAACATGCAGAGGTGGTAAGTACAATAGAATGTTCATATTTCATATTGGTTTGGATTCATTCTACTCACTACAGCATGTTACTGGCATGCAATGTCATTTCCAAATCCTCCAAAAGAGTTTATATAATATACTTTATTGCTTGTAAAACAGGAGTTAACTTTATACACAGACAAAAGACACAGTGATGACAAGAATATTGACAGTAAATAAAGACAGGAATGAAAAGGCGCACATAAAAAAACCAATGGATTAAGCAAGGGCGGGCTCATTGTGTGAATGAAACACAGACACAATCCACACAGTTTACCAAAGCAATTGAACAATGAAAACCACACAAACTGTTTATCAGAATATTAAAAATATTTAAGTGTTGATGAGAGAACATTGTCCAATAATTTTGTTTATAAAAATAAACATGTCCCATGCTTTATACTTGTAATATACTCATTAAAATATATGTTTTGCTATTAGTCTCTATGTTACATTACTACTATAAATAAATGACCTTACAGACATGTTTTATCTTTTCCTTTTTACAAAATAGTGAAGAATTTGGATGAATCTTAATGTAACAGTTAAGGTTTTAAAAGTCTTTCTTATTCCCTCCAAATATGTTAGCCTACTATTTACATTTACAGTGTAGAACGATACATTACCATGAATATCATTTGCAAAACATTAACATATTGCCACCACGGCATTCCCTTTTGCCGGTTTCTCCACTTAAGAACTTGAACATTTTCTGTACAAACAGTTTTATCACCTTCAATGGCCAAAGTATCTGCCCCTCAAAGTCTTAATACGTGAAGGAAAACATGCAGTTCAGTGAAAGAGAAAAACACTGCATATGGTTATGGAAAATGCAACATTAACAGTGAAGGAAAAACTGTTAAAAGAGGGTGCTTGTAAACACATGTGTGTTCTGAAACCAAGAAAAGAAGTATAACAATGATGATATACTGACTTCTGGTAATTATTGAAGTTCAAACTCTGTGTGAAATGAAAAGTAATATATGGGGGAGGGAGATTTTTGCTCAATTGTTGAATAAGCACATTGTCACACACAGACCTATTATATAATAATACAAAAATATTATTAACACCAACAAAAATATGTAAGTGCCTCACATTTACAGAAGAACTAAGCAAAAAGTATATAGTTTTGCATTGAAACGACCCCCAAATCCCATTGATTTATAGAGTTTCTCAAATAATGAACATTTGAAAGTATGCATTGTGAGTAACATTTGTTTCCTACCACCAATTGACTGAGGCTGAATGTTTACATCTTAAACTATATATTTTTTAAACCTTTGACATTTAGTTTGAGGTTCATTGGAGATCCAAGTTACATCCCAGAGGACCGACCAGTACATCTATGCAATAAACTAAATCGCTTTTTTTATTTTTGGTATTGTGGCAGGTCAGTTGTCACTATACATTTGGTTTCTCAGCACTTTCTTTGAACAGTAAGTCCCGAATACAAGGTAGGCCTGTACAACTATAAAGCCTCTCTGGTTAATTTCCAGGAATAACAAGAGGATGAGACACAAAGAAGATTTCAAACAGGAAACAGATGTGTTAGTTTTATTAAAATACATAGAAAACTACTTTGTGTGTTTCTTATATATTTGCTAGATTGCACAATGTATAGCAGCACATAGAAAGCAAATTTGTTTATAATGTATCTGAAAACCTGAATAAAAACAAAGGATTTTTTCAAACTGGTAAGCTTTGAGGTGAGGTGAATTATGTAAAACTGACTGAGATTTTCTGCAGCAGAGTGAATAAAAAACACTTAATCCAACATTAAAAGATACATTTTCACTCATAGCTAATTTCAGAAGTTGTGCAAAATTCTAGTGATAAGCT